TTCTGTACTCTTGTTTGGTGAAGAATTATGTTTGAATATTGCTGTCAACAATTCTACCGGTTCTATCCAAGTCTCTTCCAAATTTATTCTGGTTTACAAGGAATCATGCAGATATAACTCATGACTATTTGAAAATAGAGGATATGGATGTTTGCTGAGATATTAATCGATATTATTTTCGTAGGTAACCCACCCCAGCAAAAGTAAAATAAAACGCGTTAACGTTTAAGAATCCAGTGTAGATATGCGATATTTCATGAACAATACTTACTCTTTTGAGTGTTTATAATCTCTTTTAACAAGATTGTACAATGCATATACTTTTAAAAGGTTGATCGGACCACAAATTTATTTTCCATAAGACATAATGTTATCCTGCAAAACAAAATTAAAATAATGTCTGTATTACACTGGCATACACACTTCCATTCATTAGTCAGACAAGTTTTCAATTTTGAAAAACAGTTATTCTTCGACATGTATTGGTGCCTGATGCTATTAAGTAAACTTTCAGGACTTTACCTAATAGCATACCCTTGCACCAAGAGTAGAAGTGCACTTATTCTAGAAGGGAGTTGAGATATCAAAATATAAGTAAATAGTTTGCTGCATGCGTTCATGTTTCAAGTGATACTAGTAACAACAATAAATCAATAAATGAAAAAAGCGACTTCAATACGTTTTGAAAAGAACTGAATGGTTTGCAGTTTTGCGAGTCAGTCTTTGAAGTTTATTCCACATGAGTCTTAGAATTTTATTCCACGTCAGTCTTAGAATTTATTCCACGTTTTGGAGTCAAGATAATGAATCCAATATAACTATATGAACTGACAAATATTTGCTAGCTGCTTTGCCACGAAAACTTTACAATTATAATACTTCCTATGTGTAAACTATAATCTAGTGACTAAGTTTTAGAGAAGAAGATAAAACTTTATAAATTGTCATTGGAGTAATATGTGTGTATATATATATATATATATATATATATATATATATATATATATATATATATATATATATATATATATATATATATATATATTTGTGCCGTTCTACATTCAACTAGTTAAAACATGAATCAGTGGCCCGTAAACATGGTTAGATAACTCTGGAACTGTGTCATGTCATATGTGTTGTATAACCAAAGGACACGGTTTTCAGTGTAAGAACTATCTTTTCTTATTGGCAGGCAATATTTGTCTTTTTCAAATCCTGTCCATACCGGTTTAATTTTCTATCCCAGTGGTATCTCATGAGGACACTATTTTGGCCAAGGGTTATCATTGATACAAAGATCTGGAACTCATATTATTGTGATGTGTCAAGTGTACACAGATCTGCATATAAGTGCGTCAAATCTGTAGATATCGGTATACTTTTAGAGGAACAATCAGGGACTTGCAAGTTATGAGCATCACATTTTGTTTGATTGAGGTTATGTAGGTATGCTGCCTTCAGTAACCCTCACCCCAATTCGATAGATTACCTTGGTTTGGCTTGCAAAATTATCACTGTCCTTACCTTCTAAATGATAAAATTTGTACGACAGTGAATAGCTTCCTTGTTTGTATTTATTTTGATTTGCTTTAAAATATAGAAGAAAACAAATAACAATAATCAAAATGGCAGAAACATTATCTCGTATTCCAACCACAGACTTTCTAATTAATAATTAGGGTACTTTAACAAATATGTAAGTTCCTTTCAGATGTACTATGTTTTCTTTACATAAACAAATTTAATGTTTCCCTGCTGCAAATAACCCAAGAAGAGAATGTGATAGTCGGAACACTTTCAAGACCTTTAATCGATCCGAAATGGGTACTATCCGACAGACTGTTTAACGGTAATAAAAAGTGTCGTAACTGCCCAATTAAAGACTAATAGTAGGTTATAGCCGATCCAACGCTGAGTAGCTAGAAACAAGTATGAAATTAAAATATAAAATTCCTTTTGTTTCAATTAGAATGTGTACCGTAAAGAAAATGTCCTGTTTTCGTTTTATAATAATAATAATAATAATAATAATAATAATAATAATAATAATAATAATAATAATAATAATAATAATAATAATAATGATGATGATGATGATGATGATGATAATAATAATAATAATAATAATAATAATAATAATAATAATAATAATAATAATAATAATAATATCTTTTGTACTTTTGTTTATCGACATTAAAATCGCAATGATACAAATTGATGATACCATTGTCTATTAATTTGTTTGTTCATTATTGTTATTATTATCATTATTATATGTTTACATCGGACGAACCTGTATCCGATCCTAAAAAAAAACATACGAAAAATAAGGCATTCCGTGTTTGTTCCTCCGCAATAGAGGAGTTTTAATTTTTTAAAATAAAGTATATCTGAATTTCAATGCTTTATAAGTTAAATGAAGAAAGCTCATTTAACAACATGTGTTCGAGTAGTGCAAGAAGACTGCTTCAAACAGATAATGGACGAGAAAACTTAAACGTTACACAATATGTAACAAGAAACGATTCGTCAAATCTGTTGTCTATGTATTCAATATGTACACTGTGTTTAAACGATTAAGTTATTATCACTTATAAAAGCTATGCTACCTTGATTTAACGCTATCAATGCCTCTAAGCATTATTTGTAAGAGTCATATTTTAGCCACGTGGAGGACATCAGGTAACTCTTTTAATTAATTATTGTATTGATTCTGTATACTCATACTCGATATCAAATGCATTTACATAGGAACATAATCTTAAAATGTGTGTTATTGCTTCAAGGTTTTGCAAACGTTGACGGAATTACAATGACCCGGTGTATTTTTGTGATCACGGATCTTTTTAGTGCTTACAGATATATCAACCATATGCCGTTACACAATTATGTCCCAAAAATGCCGTAACATATTTAGGAGTCATAATCAATTTTGCTTGCAAAACTGTTTCGTAAAGTGTAGCGGCATGTTCTGGTAACTTGCGCCGAAATCAACCACTTATCCCTTTTTCTTAATAATAATACATTTAAGTAATGCACTATATTGAACATAAATGCATGGCTTATTGTCAATGTCAGAGGTAGTGTGGATAACATTATATACCTTGTACGTGGCATAGTGTCAAACCCACACGACGCGTTCTGTTCACCATGCTCCGCCATATTATAGTAACAAAACATATCGTCTTAGCCTGCAAGCTTTCATATTACCTTGTGTATATAGTGGTTTCGCCTATCAAATTGCCAAAATCACTCGAAATTCCACAGATTCAGATCAGTCATCAGCCATGCTTCTCAGTCCGCTGTGGATTTGTTCCTTATCATTAACTGAAAAAAATCTATTGCAAAAACGAAAGTAGGGCTGAACTTATTTTCCAGAATGCTACCTCTTGTATAATAATAGGGATGAGTTTATTAGGTAAATCGAAAAAGAAGGCGCTTTTAGAGAGTGGAATAGACTCGTATTTTCTATTCACTTGTAGGTGTGCGTACCCGCAATCTAATGCAGTATCAAGAGGAATCTAAACGTGCTAAGAAAGAATTTTGAGGTATTTTGTGTGTCTCCCGTCCATAGATTGAATAAAAAGCTAATAATAGGTTCATAATTTCTGACTATTGTATATTGAAAACAAATTCATCGTCATCATCATGGTCAAATTTTTCAGTGTTCTGGGTAAAGATTTCAATTACATATTTAGGAAATCTTTAGTGAAACCAACAATCATTCAATATGGCATCTTTTGTAGCTAATTTTCTTTCTAATCCAAACCAGACGAGTTAAACTCTATAAAAAAGGATGACTTACATGAGCTTGCCATATATATCAAAATTTCAGAAGTAAGAAAGCATCTTAACATAACAAGAAATGAAAAATAGTTTGGTCCATTATTTGGTAGAGAAGAAAATTTTAGATGGTAAACGTTTTCGTATAATTGGTATGTATGTTTCTGGTTTGTTTTGAAATTAAAGGAATTACATTTAAAAAAAATACACGCAATTAGAATTTTAAAAATTTCATCTTTAAAAAGAGATGATGGAATTGCAAAATTCAGAGAAAAGGGAGAAATGAAGAGAGAATGAGAACCGAAGCAGAGAGAGAGAGAGAGAGAGAGAGAGAGAGAGAGAGAGAGAGAGAGAGAGAGAGAGAGAGAGAGAGAGAGAGAGAGAGAGAGAGAGAGAGAGAGAAAGAGAGAGAGAGAGGAAATGCAAATGAAATATACATTAAAGTAATTAGAACTGGCAGACAGAACACAAGCCCTACACACTTTGTGCAAGAGTTTTGTGAAGCATCCAGTGTGGTATTGTTCTAAGAAACTAAACAAGAATCCGAGAAATTATTCCATAATCTAGAAGAAATATTAACTTTGCAACACTTTGAATTGTAAATGATTTAGCTCTTTCTCCAATTATTTTACTCCGTGATCACACCACCCTTACATCCATTGACAATTGGACAACAAAGGTGAGATGTTAATGAAGTGTAGCTTGATGTCTTAGGAGCAAAATTTTGATAGTATGTAATCAAAGGAAACCATAATCTGATTGCAAATGCACTTTCGCCTGTATATAAGTATTATATTACTTTTTTTCTGTATATATTTTGTATATATTTTGTATTATCTATTAGACATCTTTTTATCTAATTTCAGTTATTACTCTCATCATATATACGTTCGTATAAGATGCAATACAAATCTTTATTGTATAAATCTTTTTTCTTTGTGAGTTAAAGTGTGTGTGTGTGTGTGTGTGTGTGTGTGTGTGTGTGATTTGGGTTTGTAACGTAGCTTTAAAAGGTTTTCAGTCATACCACTATGATGTCTGAACGATGATAGTTTATAATGGTGTCTGTCACTGAGGCATCATGCTGCAGACATGAAGGATGATGTCCTACCCAGACACATTATCTTAAAACCAGGCCTGCCAGTCCTCACGCTATTCTCTTACTGCTTAGCGCCAAGTGAGGCAGCTGTAAGTACTATTTTTATAAGTCTTTGGTATGACACGGCCGGGGATCGAACCCAAGACATCCCGCATACGAGGCGGAAGTTCTAAACACTCGGCCACCGGAGCGGTCTTGTGAGCAAAGGTTTTATGTCTTTCAGTTTTGTATGTTTATCTTCTATACATGACAGTAGGTTGGAGTTGAAGCCAGTAGTCATTTGTAAGGAATGGTTTAGGAAGATCACATTTTCGATGGTTATGAGTTGTACTTAAAATACTTTTTTGTAGATATGCTGGCATGTCTTTTCGATCTTAGAATGTTCTGGAAATGAATGTATGCCCCTAAAATTTGTCATTTTATTGTGTTTTAGTATTTCTAAAAGGTTCTGATAAACAAAAATATTCATCCCTATTTTAATATCATCTTTTTGGAATCATATTTTAAGTTGTGTTCGGATATATTTTGGGAGGGATTATTTCCCAAAAAATGTATTTATATAAGCTAAAAGTTATATGGGCAATTTGACACTGCATTATAAGAACAATCCATCACGACATATAATAATATTGAACTATTGCATTGTAACTATTTTGTTCAGTGAAGACAAAGCAAGATCCAACTTGCGTTACAATTTTCATATATATTGGGCCTTGCATACAATGCACATAACACATCACGATGCCTTATCATGGGGCTGCCTTATTGGTCTTCTTCTAGTGAACCCGGCCTTCGCTAGCCAGCTTCCGATATATTAACTCTTAGTATTGGCGGATCGATCAGTTTTCATTGCTTCGGGTTTGTGAATGTCACTGGATGGGCATCTATTCAAAATCAAATTGTTTACAATTAAACACTGCTGCTACGTGATCAAGACATGGGGAGTACACGGCTATAATGGACTCATAAATAAGCAATTTTCCACGGTTCGTCCGTGTTGGTACAAATTCATTTTTTTCCATTAAAATACCTCTGCAATTGCTTCTCTATAGTACGTAGTCATTATTACGACGTTAAACGTACAAAGTAGCCTTAAAATTGCCTCCACAATTTTTGGTCGATTTATACTTCACCGATGTTACACGCTGTTGGTTATTTGGCACTAAATGCAAGAGCGGCTGTTTGCTGTTTTGGGATCTTAACGCCATAATGAGATAGGATATGCAGTTCTACCAGTTGCAGCTTTCTCAGCTACCTTCGTTTGCCAAGCTCGAGACTCGAACCCATGCGACAGATGTGAGATGGCAGTGATTGGTAAGGCGAGCTCTTTAGACCACTCAGTAACACGGGCGTTCAAGTTAAATGTGGCATGTAGTCTAAAAATCGGGGAAATATTAGACAAAAATCTTAAATTTATAAATTTTGCCTTAAGCCCATTTTTAGGATAAAAAAGTGGCTAGGGATTTTTTAAAAAAGTTACAAAAAAATGATTTTCCAATTTTGGATAGAATGGATAGTTCAATGTGCATAAAAAGACACGTTCACGGAGAATATGAATATTTTCGACTGTTCATTTTGGAGATCACTATAATGGTTTGGAATAAATTGTGTTATTATTATTATTATTATTATTATTATTATTATTATTATTATTATTATTATTATTATTATTATTATTATTATTATTATTATTACCAAAACACAGGGGATATCGTGTTATTGTCTTAAGCATGAAATGCTGTTTATGGCCAAAATAGGACTTCGAACTTTATTTAGGCACTATCACATTAATCAATAATGATCATATAGAACGTGTATCAGTGAGTAGACGGCGCGACTCTATATTATATAATTTACTGCCATCTGTTTTCTACATATCGTTGTTTCCTTTGCCCAGTTTTCTTCAGTCATTAACATATCTAAATTCGCTTGATAAAGAGTGAGAAAAGCAAAATGATATATTTTTAAACATATAAAAACCCGATCCGATAAAGAGGACATGTCCGGAATAAGAAGAACGTATGACAACCCTTAGCTTTAAAGCTAGATGTATATGCCAGTAAATATATTCAATATCGAAAGTAGAGCATCAATGATTCCTAGCATAAGGCTTGGTACACTTTACATTAGCAGGGTTATTCGACATCACCATAACATACTAATTTTCAAATTAATTTTGTTGCATTTCTTCCTCATTCTCCAGTAATATTGTAATAAGAAAACGTAAATGATTAGAAATAATGCATAAAACAAAACTTTATGACTGTCACCTTACGAACCATATTAATGTTCGATTTTAATCTTCGCTTTTTAAACCAACTTTGATAAGGACTATTTGTGTTTTGTCGATTGAGGAAAATTCGAGGGGATTGACATAATTTAATGAACGCCAGTGGATGGGAAAGCGAAAACATTCTGAGTATTTCATCTTTCTATTTTGTTAAGACTTTACAATATGTTGCGTGCCAAAAATGAAAGAAAAAAACAAAATTTGTATGGCTACTATAAAAAATCTATATACAGGATTTATTGACTATACCTAAGTAAATATGTTGACAATTGTTTGCAGTATTTAATCTATTGCTCATTTGTTTAACTTGAGAAATACGAAACAATAAAGACCAATGCATGTTCGGGATATGATAGACAGTGGTTCTTAAACATTTAAGTTTGGAAAAGATTGTAAGATAACGCGGGTAAAATTCTAAACTCGGGCTCAAACTGTTGGCTCCAGCTCTAGCTAGTGTTTGAACACAGCATACAGTTTATAATCCTTGTTCTTACAATGTCAGTAATGCAGGTTTGTGAATTTAGCTTGTTGCCTTACGGAGAATTTAGCCCCAAGATCTGACGTGCACTGCTTTATTGCTTACGGACAAAGAGAACAAAGGTGGAGTGTATCCATTGTGATGCTTATGCTGAACTAAGTTGTTCTGCTAGTATCGATGAGTGCAGAATAGCAATTACAGTTATTATATAGGGTAATTTCGTTCCGAGCATCTTCCGTTTTACACTGCTTATTGAAACTTAGCAACTATGTTAAAAAGTTTGTCCATAAGGATTAAGACACTGTCTACGTGGACTTATTTTAGGCATGAAGTCAATACGTGCGGCGTGCTATCCAAACGCCGACAACAAGGATTTCTTCGAAAACGAAAAATAATGTAATTAAACAGCATATACGACTATTGTTACGACGAATATTTGCGGACAGAGAACGACACAAATCGCAAGCGCGAAAGCAGCGAAAACCTATTATTGTTCAACCAGACTTCCACATAGCTCCAAGGAATCTTGGACATATTAGAGGGTCTTGTATGATACTGCACTGATTTTATTTATGGATAGACATTCAATAACTTAGCCCGTGGTGTCATCTGTTTGTATGCATGCCGACAGAAGAGGTATTTTCTATCTGTTTCTATTGGGGCCTAAAACTATTGTCTCAAACAGGTTTGGGTAAATTCGGTCCAGATCCCTCCTTGTGGTATCATTCTAAGTGGAATTTCTGTTTCCACAATGCTTTGGCTGTATAGGGTCCCAGTCCAGTAATTTGGAGGAATTGTGTTCTTCTTCATTCTCAGTAAGTGTCATTTAGTTGTTTTGCTATATTTAGTGCTTTTCTTTTCTTATTCTGTCTCTCCTAGATACGTTGAGTATTCGGCGCAGGCAAAGTTGATCAAACGCATATAGCCTTTTCTCCTGACCTATAGTAATCTGCAACGTTTCTGCGTCATATAAGGTATGGATTTGATATATGGGTTGTACAATCGTATATTTCTCTTACTTCCAGATGTTTCAAAATTTATAGAACGCGGCAGCTGTTTTCACATTTATAACGTTGAGGTTTGTTTCATGTGACCTGACATTGACGATATAGTTGTCAAGGCACGGTAGTCAGGAGCAATTTTCAAGTACTTAATTATCAAAGTATAAAGAAAGTGACGATAAGTCCCACGACAGCATGAATTGCTGATATTGAGATTAATTTTCTCACGTGTATGTTGGCTTGTTTTTAGTGCATTGTAGTTCGAGACGGTTTAAATAGAGCTAGGTCATCAGCAAATTCAGTGCTTGTTAGCAACACTATAGGGTAACGGTTGCATTTTAGAACTAGTTGTATGGTATGTCGTGTATAATACATATTAACAGTACCAAGTCGATGGAAATTCCATAGATTAATTGGGATCAGACACGTCTCTGTCTCACTCGTATCAATATATATATATATATATATATATATATATATATAGATATATATATATATATATATATATATATATATATATATATATATATATATATATATTCTTATGATGTAAAAGAGCAACAGTTTCTGTTATGTATTAAAGTCGCATTGTCTGTTTACCTTGCAAATGCAGCTATTAAAAAGTGAGCTTGATGGCAAAGGATATTTACTTTTTCGTGAATATCTTTCTTGTTTGATGAAATGAGAACAATTGATTGATCCATGTTCTACCTCTATGGAATCCTACATACTTCTATCTCAATTTTTGTTCTTGAAGATGAAAGACTATATAGACGAATCTACTTGAAATTAATAATAATAAGATGATTGATGATAATTATTTGAAAAATTCTGTATCTCTTCTTAGGAAGGAGTAGAGTTTCATCCTTCTCCAATCCTACAGTAGTTTCACCGTTATCCAGGTGAAAGCAATCACTTTGTATAGATACTCGAGAATAGTGGAGCCACAGGCATCTCGGAAAAAACTTTGAAGCAATTTTTTATGAATCTCTCTCTCTCTCTCTCTCTCTCTCTCTCTCTCTCTCTCTCTCTCTCTCTCTCTCTCTCTCTCTCTCTCTCTCTCTCTCTCTTTTGGTACGGTGATCTCAGGATGCTGGTTAAAAGAAACTAGGCGAGACCGGTTTGATCCAAACGGAAATTCCTCAGTGTTTTACGTCGCATGCTAGAAAAGACCTAAATTGTAAACAATGATTGTTTGTAACTGCCATCAATCCGGTAGCCGTTCAATTTTAGGTTTCGCTCCACATAGATAACGTACTTTTAACAGAGTGACAGGTGTAAGATGAAGTTCTTTGCATTTAGAAGATGAACGAGAGAGAGAGAGAGAGAGAGAGAGAGAGAGAGAGAGAGAGAGAGAGAGAGAGAGAGAGAGAGAGAGAGAGAGAGAGAGAGAGAGAGATGGGGAGGAGAATCTGAACCGCTTGCA